CGGGGCGGGATCGCGGCTCCCGGGGCGGCGCCCGCGGCTCCCGGCGCTTTCCGCGGGATCCCTCCGCCTGCGGGCAGCGGCGCGGGCGGGCCGGCCCCGGCACGAGGCCTGGATGCCTTTGCTGGCGGCCTCGGCGGGCAGCACCTGCGCGCGGCACCTCGCCCGGAGAGCGGTAGGTCAGCGCAGCCGGTGTAGCCGCGTCCCGCGCCGCAGCAGGTCCCGCGCGGTGCTCGGGGGCAGCCGTGCTCGGGGCGCCCGGCTCTGCCGCTCCCCATCGCCACCACCACGGCGCCTTTCCCCGCCGGCCCCGCTGCCCTTCCCAGCCCCATGCTGGTGATGGAGGGGCAGGCGGATGCACGGGRTGTGGGGTGGACTTTGCCAGGGTGGGGAGGCTGGGAAGCCTCAGTCCTGTTGGCCTCCACTGGGATTTGAGCAGCTGTTAACAGCAAAGGCCTTTCCAGACCTGCTGCCCTGAGGTGCCGCTGAGCCGCACGTGAGAGCCGCAATGCCAAATGCAGCCGCTCGCAGCCCAGCCTCAAGGACTGAGTCATAGCTTCCCTGTCCCCCCCACACACGGTCACCTGTGGCTTTATCCTGACCTAGGAACGTCAACCTCCAGGCAGGAATCGGCGAGCAGCCTCCTGGCGTAAAGGCAGCAGTCAGCTCAGCGTTGTCCATTAGCAGATCAACTGGTAATTGAAATAAAGCAGTGTGGGTTKCACTGAATGAAGTATTGAATGAGTAGTGCGAAGGAGCAGCTAAACAACTCGGCCTGTTTGTCCCCGCTCACTCATCAGTGCTGAGCATCACTGGGGCTGGGCTCTTAGAGCTACAGGTTGCTCCCAGGAGCAGTCGCTTCCCTCCTCCTAAGCCGGGGGTTGCTGCTGTGGCCAAGGCGCTCCCGCTTTGGCCAGGGCTCTCGAGGATGACATGCTGGCTGAGCTCAGCTCCTCTGTCCGTACCTGCATGCATGGCTGCGACCAGAAGAGCACCCGGCACTAACAAATTCCTCAGGTTCAAAAAGATAGACCTATTTCCCCCAAATTCAGACAGAAGCAGTGCTCCGAGCTACRGGTGTTTTAGCCCTGCGGCTTTGCTGTTGCTCGCTGCAGCTGCCGTGCCTTGTGCTGTGCCTTCAGGCTGCCGCGTGCCTTCCCTGGGCAGTGTCCTCAGGCTCGCACCTCGCCAGAGATCTGAATCTCTGCGCTTTCCTGGGAGCACTTGTAGAAGTTTTCTCTCCGTGTTCTGCATCATCCTCTGCCTCATTCCTCTTCCCCATCCCACTGTGTGCTTCCCATCTCCATCAGCCCTGGAAAACTCACACTGTAGCTCTTTCCAAGTAGTCCAGGAAGGCAAGTGGTTTATATGGACTGTGGTGGACAGGAACCTTTAAGAAATGGCCACCTTCACTATTATTGATTATTCCAGTGATAATGGCAGCACTGGGAATATCCGAGCCCTCTTCCCAAGTGTCTGCAGGACTCCATTTATTTTTCAGTTCCCTTTACAGAGCCCTGGTGTCAAGACTGTCTCCACACTGCCCTGGGACCATGCGAACGAGCCGTTGTCACTGCTGGTGAGTAGCACAGTGACCTAACAAAACAGGTCATCGTTCAATAGGCATCCTTTAAGGGGCACAAAAAAAGGGCGATTTCCATACTGAAATAAGGTAGGTACCTGATATTAGTGTACAAAAGGTGTCATCTCGATAGGAATTCACTGAATCKCTGTGTCTGCCAGGCCCTGAGCCCGCTGTGGGAGCATCTTAAGGGTCACCAGTGTGTGTAGTGGTCACAGTGCAAACCTTCACAGCATTCTATATACATAAATTAAATATACATAAATGTATAAGATACAGGGCTTCTGGTGTAGTTAAGGAAATTGCCTTTTACTTCATGGCAATTTAGCAGAAAGGAGAGAGTATCGCCGCGAACCTGATATTCTTGCATCAGCTGGCTGTGAAGCATCTGCCACCGAAGAGTAAATCTCTTAGATGTTTTACTAGCTTGCATCATGTTGGGAATTGGATTGAAGGGCCGGATGGTGAGCCAAGTTCTGCCTAGTAAACACATGTTACTGGTAAAAACATGTTATACGCAGAGGTACTAGAGTTGCTCCTGCAAGCTTCAGGAGCGGATTTAGCTTTCCTCTGAGCTCATGGAGAATAGCAAGTGTCTGACACTGACCACATGTGAAATGTTCCTTTTACAGATCGCTTCAGATGCAAAGAAGCACCAGGGGAGACATTCTGTCCGTTTGGAATAACGGGACTCACTGCTACGAGGCAGCTGCACAAAGGACATTGTTTCCAAGTTATCAAAATATGCTGTTGAACTAAAATCAGCAGATTTTTTTTTTTTAATGTACCATGGGATGCATCAAATCCAAGAATGCCTTTTCAAGTTCGCACACTATCCAGGATGAGAGGATTGGGACAGCGAACAGTGGTGGCCCAGGAGAGAAATCCTTCCTGATGGCAGCCAAGCTGGACGGGAAAGGTCCGTCCAGCTCCACGGTGCTGGACTACGCGCACCGGCTCTCCCAGGACATCCTGGATCAGGCTCTGAAGCAGTGGGCAGTGACTGAAAGAAAATACAGCGACATTCCTTTTATCGAAAGCGATGTGCCCTGAGCCCTGCAGGCCAGGACTGCACTCGCAGCGAGTCCCAGGTTGTCACCTCTGTTCCGCACTGGTGCCAAGGAAGCAAAAGCTGCTGTGGTTCGAGCGTAATGCCAGCGTGTCTGTGAGGGAGGCCAGAGGAAAACGCCTTTTAATCAATATTATCAAGAAATTAATTGGCTTGCAGTAGAGTCTATAACTGTGTTGCTCGTTATCAGCTGTATGTTGAGTCTATTCTTAGCGTGGTTAGAATTTAGTGCTAAAAAAAGAGGAGGATAAAGTGTAGCAGCGTTACCAGCACTAGTAACGGGTTGCAGAGGCTCTGTGGATGCTGGGGGGTGAAGTACGGATTGTTTTTTTATGTACATGAGGAAAAACAACAAACACAATCACCACAAACCTACTTGGGGATAAGTGAAAGGAGAACTTGAGTAATGTGTGTTCCGCTAAGCGAAACAAGGATCACCGTGTAGCAGAGAAAACTGCTGTCGCAAATCTCACTTTGATCTTACTGACTCGATCTGTGAAGTGCAAAGGAAGGAAGGTATTACCAAGTGTTTTATAAAACCACGGCATATTCAGGGAACCATATGGGCTATGTTAGGATTCAACTTCCACCCCTAAGCAAAGCAATGAGAAACACTGCAATATTGATCAACAGTGCATTGTAATTAACAGATGCTCTGGCTGCTGCAAATGCAGCACGGCTTTTCCGTAAAATCCTGCAGTAAGAGCATTTAATTCCATCTGATCACTGTCTTCAGACCAAAGCTGGTGTTTTTTTGGGGGGGATAGGGAGGGTTTTCTTCTCCACTGTAACCCAGATAAGTGTGTAAAAGCTGCCTATACTGGCTAGTGAATTAAGCCTACGTGGATGGATGGGTGTTTTTTAGGACCTGTTTATCACCTGTTTTTCTGTCAATCTTTGTTAAGGCCAGCTGTTTTTTCCTCAGCCCAAGGGTTTATGTTTCCATTTTACACTTTATGTTTCCATTTTACACATGTGCAAAAATCCCTGCTTCCCATACTGGAGAAGAGCCCTCCTGTTTTCACAACAGCCACGGCAAAACGTAACGAACAGGCGCAAAGCAGGATTTTGCAAGCGCGGGCAGCCAGCAAGCCGAGCATCTCGGTGGTTATTTTGAGCTTCTGCGCAGACATAAACCAGCCCACAAGCAAGAGGGACGTGGCTGCTTCGCGAGCTGCAACTCCAAGACTTCCCTTTAAATCCACCTCCTCCGGGAACATGAGCCATGGAGAGCAAACGGTGCAAAATACTCCGTAACGGGGCACACACCTTATTAAAAAAGAAAAAAGTGTTGAATATTGAAATTTAATGAGGGATCTAAGGAGACGTCTTCCCAGCGGAGAGCTCTGCTGTATTTTAGTAGGCACTAYACTACCTTTTATTAATAAAGGTTTCTTTACAGAAATAAAATTACAACTGTGGGCTCACCGTGTTATTGTAACTATTCTGCAGTCTTACAAAAATGTGAGATGGCTTTCCAGCTTAAACGGTCACCAATTCTTTGATTGAGTTTTATGTAATAAAACCATGCTGGTATGGGACTGACATCATTTGCAAAATGGTTTACTCCTATTTAGTAGGAGTTTAGAAATGCATTTGCTTTGCATCTTCTCCACAGAACATCCTCTGTGCAGTCTGAGTGGACACGGTGCAACTGACTTGATATCCTAATCATTAACTGCGGCACAACTTTGCAAAACAAGCATTTCTGGAGTAAGATACATCAATATTCCAAATAACATACCCTGCAATATATTTTTTACAATATTTTTGTGGAAAATACTTTCTTTTGGATTGAATAAAATCAAACTGATCACCTGCTTGTAAGACTTTTATTTGAAAAGAAATTGGCCTGTTGGACTTGATCGTGTTAGTGTGAATAAGCCGAATGAAATCCTCTCCACATAAACTTTGGAAGCAACTRAGCACGCAAATCAAAATTTATTTCTTACAGAACCAACGTTAAAGTACAAATGTCATTACAAATATATTGCAATATATATGGTATCTGTAACAGCCCAGGTTATCTCTTGGGCACCCAGTGTACAGCACGGAAGCAGAAAGCTTAGTAGTAAAAACCTGAAAGGGAAGAGAGAAGAGTTTTACGTAGCAGAAGACCTTAAGGACCTGAGTGCTCATCTCCATCTTTTTCCCAGCACCTATATTTGCTGGAATGTGTTGTGCAAAAGGAGCACAGGATCCACGGAACAGCAGAGGGTTCACGTTTTGCCTTGTCGCCACATTTTCTCCTGTATCATCAGCACATCTTGCTGCATTCCCCTTTTCATTGATTTTCCACCCCAGCGACAGCAAAATTCCCTGTTCAGGATGTTGCTGGCCACAAGCACAAGTGCAGCTGGGCCCGTCAGTGCAGCCCAAGCCCAGGTGTGCGCAGGACGAGGGGCCAGGTTCATCTCTGCCCCACAGCACTGGAAAACGGGCACGGGCAGCTCTGAGCAGCCACACGGAGCTCCCAGACCGTTACTTCTTCACCGCTATGAGACAGGAAAACCCACAAGACATTTTTCAGAAAAAAATCATTATAAAGTTCAATCAAACTTAGTGGCATTTTCAAAATCTGGGCTGCCAAGTCAAGCCATGTATAGGCTCTGCTGTTATGGTATTTGAATCACGGTCTACATCGGTGTCTACATCAGTGTTACAGCAAGACTAAGTATTAAATCAATAGGTTTTTGCTGTTAGGATTGTGTCAGCTTGACCTTTTATTTAAAATATCGCTTAACACCATGAATTTAGACATTATTAAAATGTCTTGTGTCTTCCTTCATAGCTCTGTTTCACAGTCTCAAGTACATTTCCTATTCATTTCATTYAAAAATCAGTGACAGGGCCAAGAATAGCAAGAGCTCCCCKTTAGCCATGCTGCTCCCTTCAAAGGTTGCTCCTTAAATCAGAGTGAATGCCAAGAATTCAATAGTATACTAAATTTTTTCAGTAAAAATAATCCTCCTTGAAGGGTTTTTTCCCATTTAACCAGTCATGATTATTTTGTCTTTATGGAAGCGCAAACAAGAGAATGGTCTTGAACACAGAGAGACCTATGAACTGAAGAGAGGCTAAGAAAAGAGCCACAACACATTACTATTAATTTGCATGCCCTAAAATCAAGCCCATGTATAAACACAGTCTTTAGGCTCGGTCTTTACAGCTTGAGATCGTTGTCTCCCAGAGGTTTAAAGCAATCGTCCAGAAATTCGTCGCTGACCTCCTCCAACGCAGCGGGTTTCCATCTCGGGGCCTGGTCTCTGTCAATGAGCACTGTCAGGTGAAGCACAGAACACAGCAGTTACTTGGAGCCCTTCTCCAGCGCGGCGACTCCGCGCTGCCAAGCGCCGTCTCCCTTAACTGCAGCCTTCCAGCAGCACCGGCTCCTCCTGAGCACACGTTCCTGTCAGATCCGTGACACCCGTGGCCTCGGGAGCTCCCAGCCACGGCAGCCCACGACACAGGGGAGGAAGGGCAGATGGTCCCTTTCCCCTCTGCTAACAAATCAGCCCCCACACGATGCTCCTAGAGCCACCAGRACAGCAAAGGCTCGTGCAGACCCTATGTCCTGAAGCCATGGAGCTCTTCCTCAGCAGGCTGCTACCTCTGCTCCAAGCAGAGCTCGTTCTGGCTCAGCTAGGAACATTGGTGCTAAGAAACGTGCACAGGATCTGGATTTCAAGTCCAGAGGAAAGCACGTCCACCTTCAACGCTGCTGACAGCAGCATCCTGAAGCTGAGCTTCATCCTGAAAATATATGAACGTCTCCTGCTTTTTTCCCCACTGTGRTTAATAACTGTATGAAAGCCAATAAGCAGCTTTGTTTGGTACATTGAGTTCTGGAAACATCAGATTTTCAGTATTTCAGTATTACAGTATTTTGTAGCTGSCCCCTTCTTCCTATTAACTAAGTTTTTTTTTCTTTAGCAATAGATCTTGCAAACTTAGCAGTTCACCTATTGAAATTACAAAAATGTTTACTATTCTCTAGGTTAAAATAGTTACATTTTTAATAAGATCCTGAAAATATCCCCTTTCCTCACGTGACTTCCATGTGTTTTGTGCAGCCTAAGATGGAAATACCCTGTTCAGTATGAGAATGGAACAAAAACGCTGAAGACTCCCTARCGGAGGTTAAGAGAAGCTCACTAAAAAAAGGCACTGAACACAAASGTTGCATTTAGGGCCTGTTCTTGCGTGTTACCTGAGAAGCCATCCTGCCGTGCACCGGGAGGACCTGGACGGATTTTCAGGGTCTCTACTGAGAACCTTGGTCTCAGTAAGTCTTCAAAGAGCCTATTTACCATTTTACAGGAAGACTCCACACCATGGTTAGAACGTGATCTGGGTATTTCATGCTCTAGGTGCTTTAGCTTTTAATAGTWACAACCACAAGGACACAACAGGGAAGGACTGTTAGCCAGCAGATCTTGCTGGTGGCTAAAGGCAAAAACAAAACAAAACAAAAAAAACCCACTACTGTGACCCTGATGTCAAGTTTTAAAATCCAAATGGGTCRCTCTTAAGTGAACTACTTTCCTAATACACCTAATAAAGTTATGACTTGAAGCAGCTAAAAGTTATTAGAAGCACTACTTGACCTGAGGGCCATTGCTGCTGAAAGATAGTCTTAACTAATATCTGATAATTGGATTCTAGCTCTATTTATGAGGAAAAACAAATTTCCTATGTCTTGACARTCTCTCCTGTCAAGCACAGATAACAAACAGATGACTCTTAAATGCTCGATTTTTTGTTTTTTTGGGGTTTTGTTTGTTTGCTTTAATCTTAGTTCTTAAACTACCATCGTATTCAGGATGGCAGCAGAGTGCTTAGCTATCTTGCTTTCTATTAAAGACAAAGACAGGATGCTCAGCACCTTAATGGATCGTTTTTTCAATGCATTAAAACTAAATTTCATCTTATCTTGTGTCCGATTTGGCATTGCTTTTAAACAAAACAGGCACCTTACTGAAAATGCAGCAGACTTCTAGGAGGCTCACCCCAGAACAGCAGGTATGCAGTAATGGGAGAGCAGAAGTGACTGCAGAGCACACAAGTGGTCATTAGGAATCTTCTCCGTGCAGCGTTACATCYTCCCCTTTCCCAACGCAGTTGAGTCATGGCTACATCATCCTGTGTGAAAGGGAAGCTTCCCAGCTGCTGTTCCTTGCAGCTTGCTTAATTTAGGAGCAGTTTGTGCAGTCTACTTGTCACACAGTAAAACAGCAACTTGTTTTTGGCCTCTGCCTCATTCACAGCTGATTTAATGACTTTGTGCCTTACAAAACTGAGAAGTGGATTTGACCTCATCCAACTCCAAGTCTTTGAGGTTCGTCACTTCTCATACAGTGAGTTTTGAAAGCTTCTACAGTAGTAGGGAATATATCCTAGGAATGGCATCTTTATAAAGCATCTTTCCCTCCACTACTCCTTTCTAGCGCAAGCGGTTCTCAACAGACTGACTGTGGGTGAACTTCAAAGGAGTCTGTACTAATAAGTATTAACGACTACTTAAAACTAGAAACTTTCTCCACGCTGTGCAAACAAACGGCCTTTGTGATCCCTGGGCCATTTTTGCAGCAGTATTACTTAGAGTGAATGCTCAAACAGTGCCATTGAGGGCACAATCCACTGTACAAGTGGATTTTTAACTGCTTTATAAAGGTAGGGGTAAGAAGCAAGGGAGAAGTGATAATAAATACGTGAGCTGTATATATGTGTGTATATATTTATATATATACACCTCATATAAGTATCAAAAGCCATGTCTTATCTTTCTGCGCCCAACAAGTGTTACTCTTCTGGATGTCTTGTACAACAAACTCCTTGGAAAAGGTAATGTCTCTGGTTTTATTTCATTGTGTGCTGAACAGTGCATAAAGAACCACTACAGTTCCCTGCAGTAAGATAGCTTTGTTCAGAGATGCTTTGGACGTGGTCAAAAGTAGTCTCTGTTCTCCCAATCTGCTATATAAACACATGTTGAATTTGAGGCTTGATTTCTTGAAGTATTTCATAGCTGGCTAATCCAGCTATGGAGCAAAATWAAAGCTGAATATGCAAAGGATGCAGTTGCTCTTCAATTTTGCTACTGTCAGCATTAAATATAWTTTGATTTTTCTTTTTTTTAAATGAACTGGTGGCACTGTCCTGCTACCAGGTAGCCAAAAGAAATACACGGACACTGAAATTAAATAAAACAAACAACGGAGCTGTTGGGCTCGGTTAGTGCAGGTGATAAACTCCACCACACAAAAATCCAAAGGCAAAACCTGCAGCAAGCTTACGGGTGCTCCCTGGGCCTTGCTGAGCAAGTTTTCCCTATCCACAGAGAAGTGGTGCCACAGTGACTTTGCATGGCAGTAAGTGACCTTGCTGGTATGTGCTCTTACCTGCTCGAACACCTTCGTAGAAATCATGACCTCTCTGAAAAATACAGAAATGAGCAGTGTGGTTACACATGCAGCTTATCCCATCTCTTCCTAGGGGTTATCCAACTTACTCTGCTTGGAATTCTCAGCATTCTGCCAAATCTCCCACTGCCTTTTCACCAAGTCCTACCTGCACCTTGCTTACTGAAGGCTTCTACATACCCTTGCTTAAAATGGAGCCACATCTTCCGCAGTTTGTGGCACTGTGGTTCACCAGATGCCTTTCACACAGCTCTGCTACATCTGAGTTTTGCATGATGGGCTACAGGGCATACAACAGGGTTGGAAATGATTTAGGGAAAGAGCCACTTCTCCAGGAATTTTGTGATATATTCCAATATATTCAGTACATCTTGCAGCTCAACAGAATCCCAGGAACAAATCTATTTTTTGAAAAGGGGGCAAACAGAACACTTCCATCTCTCAGGATGTTTCATTAGCAATGGAGCAGCAATATTAGTTTCAGGAGAGAGGTGGCAAGGAGACTGTGAGACATTACAACACACCATCTTTAGACACACTGCATTCTCACTTACTTTTTCCTATGAGTGAGTTCCTAAGTAAGTGAGTTCCTAAGTATTTACATTAAACGTCAGCATTCACTCAATCATATGCAAAAATARGAAAGAAAAATCACATTAAATGCAATAGAACTAATAAGGCTTCTATGGGAAGGCTTTATGAGGAATTTGTTCAAAGAACACAGTCAGTAACACTGTTCTGCTAGAAGGATCAACGTTTCATGCTATCCAACCCTCTACTATAAATAGTACTCAAGACTGTCTTTTTGAGGAATCTGTCACAACACTCCTGGAAAGAGCTATAAAAGCTCAGACAGGAACTGAGGCACTAAGAGGCTAGATAACTTAAATAGGAAATGCGTGCAAGAACTGCAGGGTTTTAGCATTAGTGCTCAAACAAAACTCTCTAGAGTGTAACATTATCAGAGTTTCCATAACAAAAGCACTGTACCATTCCCACCTGACCATTGATAAATCACCTCTTCAAGTCGCACATAAAAATACGGAGCTGGGAAGAAGAAAGCAGCATGTGGAGCCACAAGATACTGAAAACAGGGCTTGATGCCATTGAGAGCGGGCTCAGCTGGCCCCCGCGCTGGCGCTCACCATGCAGGCCTGGCTCAGCCGGTACTCCGYGGTCAGGACGTCCTGCAGGCTCATGGAAGCACCTGCTCTCAGATGCCTCAGTGCCAGCTTCAAGGACGTTGGAGACATCTTCTGAAGAGTCTGGGGAAGACAGCGACATTTATTTTTCGTTCCGTTCCATTTGGACACATTTGCAAGTCATTGTGGTTTCTGCATTTGATGCATTGCAAAGTATGGTGGTGTTCTCCCTGAGCTCATCCATGAGACTTCCATGTCCCCTTGTTCCTACACTATGTCTACAGTTTTGAATGAAGTTTCTTGTGTAAAACTTTCCCAGGAACATCTTCGAGGCACTGGCCACCACTTGAGGAAAAGCCTGGCCTAGAATACTTAAGCCTGCACATCTGCAAAGACCTAGGAGTACATTTTGAAGGGGTGGAGGAATTGGGAATTTCCTTAAAAAGAATCCAACCAAAATGTTTGTCAAAACATGCTTCTTGGCTGGCATCAGGAGGCACTGCAGGAATCCAGCCCTGCTTTGCTTGCTCACAGGAAGCCTGGAGGTTTTGCCTTGCCCCTTTCAACAGTGCTACAGGCTATAAATATTACGCAGCCGCCAGGATCTGCTTGAGACATACAAAGAGAGGAGATCTGCTTCGTACAGCTATCAGTGAACAGCATGTCAGCACACAGCRAGTGGAAGCGAGGAGAAGGCCATGAACCTCATCAAGGGAAACGAGCTCTGACGCTTCCACGGTCCACGAGGAAAGAGCTAAACTCTTAGTCACTGATGGTCCTTCAAACATGACTGTTTTCTCCCAGTAAGCCCRAATAAAAGCTCTGTATTGTTCACCCCACAACAGACAAGCCCTGTTATCTGGGACATCTTTACTGCTCTACTGAAAAGCAGCAGATGGGAAGATTTACCTCTTTGCTGCATTATTTTTGTTTCAGTCATTAGGCTCCTAACACACAGACTGAGATGGCAAGCTTCCAGTCATCAGCATTTTTTTTGGCTCCCAATTACTCCTCATCCCTCTCCACACAGCAGCTGATACAGCAGTGACCCATTTTTGCATATTTAAGCCAGAAAACGTGCCGCTGCTACACACAGAGTAGCCTGTGCCACTGTAACTTTAGCAAAACTGTTGCATTAGCAGGAACAGTGCAAAGAGAGAGCTCTCCAGGTGAAAYGTTAGTTCTTCAGAAAGCACTGGGACAGGAATAACTTGAAAACAGCACTTAATTAATTATTGGGTCTATCAGCTGCCTTATCTTGGCATATCAATGAGGCTGAAGGTAGAGGAGGCACTGCCATAAATCAGGTTGAAGGAAGAGGAACGAGGCAAGAAAATGGGTAGGTGTTATGCAGAAAAGCCATTCACCAGTGTAGCTATAAATAAACCTGCTCTGCAAAGAGAAGGAAGAGATCAGCACTAGGAAACCAGCCTGAAAAGCAGATGGGATAGGCTGAACTAGAAAGGTGAATGTGAAAATGCAAAGGCAGCTTCACAGTATCATCTAACACCTATTCTAGTGTTGCAATCATCTCGATTTCAGAGATCGAGAAATCTCTGAAATCTACAGACAAATCTTTGAAATCTACAAACTGAATTTCCAATACAGCTAAATTTTTTTGTAATAGAAACTGTATTTTGAACATACAAACCATCCTCTAAATGCTCCATTTAAAACAAATCTAATATGTCTGAGTTTGTTTTACAGTGCTATAATATTAACTTGGGAAAAGCTATCTGCAAATAAGCATTTTTTGCAATTTCGACTAACAAACTCTAATCAACATAAAGTTAAACAACATTCTGCAATGATATAGCAAAATCTACAGTTAAGATCTAAAAATACTATCTTATAACGCAATATGATAAAGAGAAAAGAGAAAAGAGAAAAGAGAAAAGAGAAAAGAGAAAAGAGAAAAGAGAAAA